TTGATTTTTGGAGAGACAAGTTCTCACTATGTTGCCCTGGTAGGTCTTGAACTCCTGGGCTCAAGTGATCCTCTCACCTCAGTGGTGAGATTATAGATATGAGCCCTCATGCCTGGCAACCATCTGTTTTGTTACCTCCATTGAATTACTTTGAGGACTTTGCTGAAAATTAGTTTGGCTATATATGTATACATCTATTTATGAATGCTAATCTGTTCCATTAATCTGTGTATCTGCCCTTTCACCAATACCTAAGACTTCATTTATTTTAGATGTGAATGAGTTATCTGTTACACATGCTGATGACAGCAAGAAAGAGAATGTCTTACTGGTAGTGGATTTATTTTTCTGCTATAACAAAAAGTCTGGAGACAAGCATTTGCTAGTATTTATTTACTGATTCGGGGGTCTCACTCTCCCACCCAGACTTTAGTGTGGTGGCATGATCACTGCTCACTGCTGGCTCAACCTCCCTCCTAGGCTCAAGCAATCCTTCCATGTTAGGCTCCTGAGTAGTTGGGACTACAGGCATGCATCACCTTGCCTGGCTAGTGTTTTTGGATTTTTTTTTGTAAAGTCCAGGTCTTGCTATGTTATCTAAGCTGGTCTTGAACTCCTGACCAAAAGCAATCTTCTCTCCTTGGCCTCCCAAAGTGCTGGGATTACAGGCATGAGCTACTATTCCTGGCCCTGCTAGTTTGTTTAAACTGTTCATCTATTCCAGCAGTCAGCTGTCTTTAGCCTGCTGGCCTAATTTGGCTTGCCACCTGTTTTTGTAGATAAAGTTTATATGGAACATAGCCACACTAGTTTGTTTATTTATTTTTTTTGAGATAGGGTCTCACTTTGTTGTCCAGGCTGGAGTATGATGGCAGAGTCCCGGTCTCAAGTGATGCTCTCATCTCAGCCTCCTGAGTAGCTTGAACTACAGGTCCACATTCCACATCCAGCTAATTTTATTTTTTGTAGAGATGAAGTCTCACTATGTTGCCCAGGCTGGTCTCGAACTCCTGGGCTCAAGCAGACTTTTTTCCTCAGCCTCCCAAAGTGCTGGGATTATAGGCGTGAGCCATTGCACTCGGCAGATGTTTATGGCTGCTTTCATGCTACAAAGTTAGAACTTGATATTTGTAATAGAGACCATGTATATTGCCTGAAAATTCTAAAATATTTATTATATTTGACTTAAAATGTTTACTATATTTGACCCTTTACAGAAACAAATTTCTTCTGATCTGTATCACTAAGGATCTAGTTTCTTTTATCTGCTCATTTTTGGCTTATTGACTTTTTTTTTTCTTTTAAAAGAAAAAAAGAAACAGTCTGTGTTGCCCAGACTGTCCTAAACTCCTGGCCTCAAGCAATTCTTCTGCTTTGGTCTCCCAAAGCGCTAGGATTATAGGTATTGAGCCACCATTCCCAGTTTGGCCAGTTGACTTTTTTGTCCTGTGTTACCTCATTGTCACAGGACATCCACCATGCTTCCATATGCATATTCCAAGGCAGGAAGAGGAAGGGAAAGGGATGGAACTAGTTATGCTTTTTTCTCTTATCAGGAAAAGCAGCAGTCTTCCAGAAGCCTCCCTAGCCAACTTCTGTTTACATCTCAAAGACTAAAACTATGTTATATAGTAATTGTAGCTGTAAGGGAGGCTAAAATCTAAATACCTTCCCAGGCTCTCTAGTGGAGGTAGGCAAATGCCAAAAGTAAATGTTGTTTGCCATCCTTTTATCTTGATGAGCCGTTCATATTAGAAGACAAGTGAACTAAGTTCTTAGCTCAGTGATTCTCAAACTTTATTGCATGGGAGCATTGCATAGGATGTTTGTTTAAAATGTATTTTTGGGCACATGCACAGAGGTTTCTCCTAGGTGGAGTCAAGGGATTTGCATTTTCAAAAAGTCTTAGATCATTTTGATACCTATATGGAGTCTCTGATAAATACTGTGTTAACATTTTAGTTTGTGATTTTGACCTGTTTCTGAATCCTTGTTGTATATCAGAATCACCTGTGGAGGTTCTTTAAAATACATATGCCCAAGCTTTTTATTCTCTGTGACTGACTTAATTGTTAGGGTAGGAGGTGAGGGGTAGAAGAAAGAGCAGGTATTTGAATTTTAACAAGCTTCCTAGTAATACTGATAATTCTGTTGCATAGTCGTGATCAGAAATCATTAATCAAAAATAGTTTCTCAGAATATAGTCCCCAGACCAGCAGCATTACTATCTCCTGTGAAATTTTTTAAATATGCAGATTATCAAGCCCCACTCCAGACTTAACTGGAAACTCAGGTAGGGCTTGACAGTGTTTTCATCAAACTCTCCAGGTGTTTCTAATGCATGTCAACATTTGAGAACTTTGAAAGGCATTGCTGAATGTTTCCCAGCTTGGCCTAGGCAAAACTAGTTGGCTGTGTTTTTTTAAAAAAATGTAATTGATTAAAATATGTGTATTATAATGTCACAGGTAGTAATTTTGGAATTGGATTGACGGTTCACAAATGATCTAATATGGTAATTGTTACATACTTTATTTGACCTAATTATCCAAGGCATTTGTTGTTGTTTTTAAACCACTCTTAACAGTCAACAGTTTTGTGTGTGTACATTACTTTTTCTTAGTCTTTAATGAAGAGTTAAGGATACTGAAGACAATGCTTATGTTTGTAAAGTTTATAAACTAGAGAAGAATGCAATATAAGCATGTATAAACACAAAAGGCAAAAGCTCATTACATGAGCTGTGATTGCGCCGTTATACTCCATCCTGGGAATCATCTGTTCTTTCAGGGTTAGTTATATTTTGGTGATTGGTGGCTATATTACAGTGTGGGTAGCCTGTTTAACAGAAAATTAGGATTTACTCATATGCCAAACCACAAAATAGTACTTTACAGAATGTAAAATGTGTCTGTTTTCAGTTTACCTTCCCAATTGTAATTACTAATTTCTTCAACATGGAATCTAATATCTTTTCTCCATCTGTTTTCAGGAAGCTCTTTACCCTTGGAAAATTTAGGTTCATTCGGACTATCTTTTGCTTACTCCAGATGATACAGTATTCTCTAGTTTTAAAAAAATAAAAGGTTAATTGAAACTAAATTCGAATTGATTTTTAGGTGCTTTAAAAACTTTTTTTTTTTTTGAGTCAGCGTTTCAGTCTGTCACCCAGACTGGAGTGCAGTGGCATGCTTATGGCCACCACAGCCGTGACCTGCTGGGCTCAGGTGATCCTTCTGCCACAGCCTTCCAAGTAGCTGGAACCACAGGCATGTGCCACCACCATTCCCAGCTGATTTTTTGATTTATTGTAGAGATGAGGCCTTGCTATGTGACTCAGGCTGGACTTGAACCCCTGAGCTTAAGTAGTCATCTCGCCTCTGCCTCCCAAAGTGTTGGGATTACAGGCATGAACCACCTTTTGACTTTTTAAGCTGGATGTGGTGTTACTTCCTATAGTCCTGGCTACTCAGGAGGCTGAGGCGAGAGGACAGCTTGAGGCCAGGAGTTGGAATCCATCCTGGGCAACTCTAGTGAGTTTGAGTCTCTTAATTAAAAAGAAAAGAAAAAAAGAAGGCAGAGCGTAGTGGCTCACACTTGTAATCCCAGCTTTGGGAGGCTTAGGTGGGAAGATTACTTGAAGCCAAAAGTTTGAGTTTACACGAGCTGTGATTGCACCATTACACTTCATCCTAGGCAACAGAGCGAGACCCTGACTCTAAAACAAAAACAATTTTTTAAAGCAAAACTTTTGAAAAGAGAAATTTGATTGCATTAGGCTTAACAAAGAGTTAAAATTACTTAACCCATTTATAGTTCCATTAGCAATAATTACAAACATAAAATGAGGTTCACAGAAACAGGAGTTGTCGTCGAAGCCAAGAAACCTTTATTTGTGAGAAAATAATTGAGATGTTAGTACTTTCTTGGGAAAATGTCAGCAAAAAAGACTTCCGACTTTTTCTCAATCATAATTTGTAGCTTAAGATACTTGAAGTTTATAGAATCACAAAAGCTTAAAACAATTTAACAAAATGTTTGAACTAGGTTCCTTGGTAGCCCAGAGGTACTACTGGAATTTTGCTTCCTATCGTCTGTGTCAATTTACTGGGTAGACCTCATTCTCTTTAATAATCTCAAAGCCCCACCTATTTTTACTTTCCGACAGCTTTTAATCTTCAGAAAGTCTCCTAAATCAGCTTCTCTTTCTTCTCATGACTTCCTTTTTCTAACTAAATTATTTTGTTAATTTTTCTAGTATTTCTTGAATAAGCCGTTTGTGACAATACTATGTTGATAATCACTTGTGGTTTTCCTTAGCATTGGGTCGTCTCCACTTGATTTTGCACTTGTGTACTTTCTTGTTGAGAGACTGATAATAAACCATCATGACTTAAAAAAAAATACTTGACATAATTGAAAAAGAGTGCTTTTATTCTCTGGACTGTTTTTATATTCGTCTCAGCATTACTCAAGTGTCTCAGAACTTTGAGAACGTGTCAGAGAAGTCTCCCTGAGGAATACAGGAGACTAATTTATAGCAGAAATGGCAAAACACATGAAAATTTATTGCCTAATAGATATGTTTCTGTTAATAACTTTTGGAAGGAGGCACAATTTTCCTTTTTTCTTAAGGGTTAAAGAAGCCACTGAAGATACTCCTCTTAAAAACATTATTTCTTATCAGACAAATAAAAATTCAAATATTTTAATTATTGTTAGTTTAGAATCTCATAGAAAACTTTAACATTGGTATCACATATTTCTGGCTATTAGTCTCAAGCTCACTATGCATTTTTCATGAGAAGCTGTGAATTGAGAGCATTTGCAGCCCTTTTTTGTAGCAGATCTTGATTTATTCTATTTTTTAAAAAAACATTTAGAAGATATCTTTGTATAAAAAGAAATGCCAATAATTTTCTTCAGAATATGAACCCATTTTAATGTAATACTGGCTTCTCCTTCTCACTTTGTTGATTGCATGTATCTGTGACACTTAGATTGTAGGTAACGGAAGTGAACAGCAGCTACAAAAAGAGCTGGCAGATGTACTGATGGATCCTCCAGTGGATGACCAGCCAGGGGACAAGGAGGTTGTGAAGAAGTCACAAATGGATGGTGAAGGAGATGGGCATCTTTCTAATCAACTCTCAGCTTCATCCACCATTAATCCTGTGCCATTAGTAGGGCTCCAAAAACCAGAGATGAGCCTGCCAGTGACATCTGGACAAGGAGGTTAGAATTACTGCATTGTTTGAGTAACTGAAGGTTATTGTTTTTAACATTTGAGTGTCTATCCTGTACTAGGTTTTATTTACAGCAAGCAAAAAATATGATCTATATTATCTAAAATCTCTAGATTCTAGATCTGAGTGAGAAGAGGAAATATATGTACCATTCTGATTTCCCTTTAATCATATTTCCTTTGTAGCAAATAAACTGTAGTTAAATGACACTGAGGGAGTTTTTTTAGTTTCAGAATGCTTAATGATTTTTCTAGGAAAGAAGGAATTTAAGTACAAAATTGGAGAAATGAAGAAATAATTCTGGGTGAATAAATGTTTGCTTCAGGCCTGTATTGCTCTATGGGAGTAGTTTCCAAGTTGAAAAAGGGATAGTGGAGTAAGAGACAGAAAGATATAGCAGTAAATGAGGAAAAGTACAGAAAGATATAGCAGTAAAGGAGGAAAAGGACAATTTAAAGCCTCATTTGGAAAAGTGGTCATTTAAACTATAGATGTTATTGGGAAAGGGAAAACAAGGGGATTGAAAGAATATAATAAAGTGGCTAAGATGATGAATAAGATAAATATTTATAACACTACAGATCAGAAAGAAGACAAATCAGAGACAGGATTTTTCAGAGTGGAAAAATATTAAATGTATATTTGACATAAATGTAAATCATAAAGTCAAAACAAAATAGAAAAAGCAGAAAGGGAATCAGATCTCAATCTGATTGGATTGACCCCTTATAGCAGTATAAGTTGAGTATCTCCTGTGAAAAATGTCTAGGACCAGAAATGTTTCAGATTTTGATTTGGGGAGGGGGAAGGCATTTGGAATATTTGCATTAAATTTACCAGTTGAACATCTCAAATTTAAAAATTTGAAATCTGCCTGGCATGGTGGCTCACACCTGTAATTCTAGCACTTTGGGAGGCAGAGATTAGAGGATTACCTGAGTTCAAGGATTCGAGACCAGCCTGGGCAACTTGGTGAGACCTCGTCTCTACAAAAAATTAAACCAATTAGCCAGGTGTGGTGGCGCACACCTTTGGTTCCAGCTACTTGGGAGACTGAGGTAGAAGGATCACCTGAGCCCAGAAAGTCAAGACCATAGTGGCCATGAACATGCCACTGTACTCCAGCCTGGGTGACAGAGTGAGACTCCTACTCAGTAAAAATAAAAATAAAAAATTTGAAATCTGAAATGTGAGTGCCATGTGAGTGCTCAAAAAGTTTTGAAATTTGGAGCATTCGTATTTCACATTTTCTAATTTGGGATGCTCAAACCTGTACCTAAAACTCTTGATGTTTCTGACAGTTCTAGTGTAAGATTTCTGACTTTCATGGGCATATCTTCTAGGGTGTGGCATATTATCTCATTAGTACTTAATTTTAGAACCTAAGTGTTACTTGTGGATTGTTCCTTGCTAATCATATTGACAAAATATCAAAGTAAAAATAATCACCTCCGTATTCTTTGTTTCTTTCAGATTCTGAAGTGTCAAGTCCTTTTACACCAGTGACTGATGAGGACAGCATAGTTTTCAGTAAACTAACCTATTTAGGCTGTGCCTCAGTAAATGCTCCCAGGAGTGAAGTGGAAGCATTAAGGATGATGTCCATCTTAAGAAGCCAATGTCAGATATCACTAGATGTAACACTCTCAGTGCCGAACGTATCTGAAGGAATTGTGAGGTGAGACTAGTTTCTTAAAATCTTTGTAAATTTTCAATAGCCAGGCATGGTATCTCACACCTGTAGTTCCAGCTACTTGGAAGGCTGAGGTGGAAGGATTGCCAGAACCCAGCAGGTCGAGGCTGCAGTGGCCGGGAACGTGCCACTGCACTCCAGTCTGGGTGAGACTGCAACTCAGAAAAAACAGCCTCCACCTGTTGGGCTCAGGCGATCCTTCTGCCTCAGCCTTCCAAGTAGCTGGAACTACAGGCACGCACCACCACACCCCAGCTAATTTTTTTGATTTATTGTAGAGAAGTGTTCTCACCAAGTTGCCCAGGCTGGTCATGAACCCCTTGGCTTAGGCAGTTCTCTCACCTCGGCCTCCCAAAGTTCTGGGATCACAGGCTTGAGCCACTGTGCCCAGCCATCTTTGTTTTTTAAGATCCTAATTGTATATGTATATATTTGTGCATGTGTATATATACCTACATATATATGCACATATAAGTATACAACTTTGAAGTAAACATTTTTTAACAGCGGTGGAATTATACATGCCATCTTATAATGTACTTTCTTAGTTTTATATCATAACCCTCTTCATATCAGTAAATATGATGAAAAATTTTATAATGTCATAGGAATATGTTATAAATAAATATCTCTTATGTTAGACATTTTAAGGTTTTTTTTCTTTTAAAGAGAAAAGTGCCAATAATAATAGCTACTATTTATTATTATGTGGGAACATAAATGCTTTCTAAATAAGTATCTTTGAGCTTAATCATTGTAGACTTGTAAAAATTTCCTTAAATTCCTAGAAGTAGACTTACTGGGTATGCCTATTCTTATTTGCTTCTGATACATTGCCAACTAGCCATCTGGAGGTACTGATCTAGTTTATTTATTTATTTTGAGTCAAAGTCTCACTCTGTTGCCTAGGCTGGAGTGCAGTGGTATGCTCATGGCCACCCCAGCGTCGACCTGCTGGGCTCTGGTGATCCTTCCAAGTAAGCGGAACTACAGTCGCGTACTACCATGCCCGGCTAATTTTTATTTTATTGTAGATACCAGGTCTCGCCAAGTTGCCTGGGCTGGTCTCGAACCCGTGGGCTCAGGCAGTCCACTCACCTCGCCCTCTCAAAGTGCTGGGATTACAGGCTGAGCCACTGAGCCCGGCCTAATTTTTTTATTTATTGTGGAAACGAAGACTTTCCGAGTTGCCCAGGCTGGTCTCGAACCTCTGGGCTCAGGCAATCCTCTTGCCTCTGCCGCCTAAAATGCTGGGATTATAGGCGTGAACCACTGTGCCTGGTGATCTAGCTTATTTTTATTGGTAGCATATAGAGTATCTGTTTCTCAGTACCCCCAGAAGCATTTTGGACTTTTATGGCAACAGAGTAGTAGCTCTCTGTGATAATAGTAAGTGAAATAGTTAATCTGCACATATAATTTTTCTTTTCAAGTATTTAAAGAAGTATTTCACAGACTTGCAAATTTTTTTGTATTAATTGTAAACTTTTTTTTTTTTGAGTTGGAGTCTCACTCTGTCACCCAGACTGGAGTGCTGTGGCCGCTCCTGGCCACCGCAGCCTCAAACTGCTGGGCTCCAGCGATCCTTCCGCCTCAGCCTTCCAAGTAGCTGGAACTACAGGCGCACGCTACCACACTCGGCTAATTTTTGATTTATTGTAGAGATGAGGTCTTGCCAAGTTGCCCAGGCGGGTCTCGAACCCACAGGCTCAGGCAGTCCACTCACCTCAGCCTTCCAAAGCGCTGGGATTGCAGGCTGAGCCACTGATCCCGGCTAATTGTAAACTTTTAATGATATATGCTTAGCACTCATTTCTATATGTTTCTTAGTCAATACTCATTACTCCTAGTGAATTTATATGTTGTTTTAATATATTTTGTTTTTGTTTTTTTGAATCAAGTGCAGTGGCATGATCATTGCTCACCGCAGCCTTTACCTCCTAGGCTCAGGCAGTCCTTCTGCCTCAGCCTCCCAAGGGACTACAGGCTCACACCACCATGCCTGGATAATTTCTTGACTTTTTATATAGATGAGATGTCACTATGTTGCCCAGGCTGGTCTTGAATTCCTGACCTCAAGCAGTTCTCTCACCTTGACCCCCCAAAGTGCTGGGATTACAGATATGAGCCACTGTGCCCAGCCTGATCTAATACGTATATTTTAATTCTATAAAAGAAATTGGAAAAGTATTCTGTCTTGCCCCACATTTTTAGAGTTTCTGGGAAAGTGCTTTCGAACTTGGGTTAGTTTCTCTTCCTAGGTATTTCTGTTATGTATGAGGCCTTCTGGGCTTTCCCCATTAATTGTTCTGCCCATGTAGTGTTGGAATTGCATAGCTTCTTTTTAGGACTTTCATAGTTGTATCCTTAGTGCCCTGATCAGTGTCTGGAATATTGTAGGTGTTATATAAATATTTGTTTTGTTGAATGAGTAGATTTTTATTGAGTGTTATCTCTCTGACTTTTATGAAGGGAATTCCTTTGATTTTATTAGTGCTCTTCTTTTAGGGAGTTAACATTTTATGTAATCTGTCTCCTTATTTACCATGAATCAAAAAAACATGTTTTACTCTGAGAAGGAGCATCAAGTTTTATTTATTTATTTTTTTTAAGAAGCAGATTAGATGTTTTTAGGAGGTAATCAGAAGTACAGCTTTAATAAATGTATTTTGGTAGTCTAATGTACACGTAAATCTTGTCTTTATTTAACTACAGACTGTATAAGAAGCATGTGCTTGTTGATATTGTTTGTACCTTTATTTTTGCCTCCCTAAAAAATGGGACTACATGGTTTTTAGTACCATAGCATTATGTAACCAGTAACCTCAGGAATCCGTATGTGACTCATTTATTAAAATTTAAGATTAATATGATTCACATACCAGAGTAACCTATATGGTCTTGCTAGAAAGGTGAGTCTCAAATCCTAATATGAGTGTAGTACAAATTGTTCATAATTCCTTCAATATTTGTATATGTTTTTTTCTGAACAGACTCTTAGATCCTCAGACAAACACTGAAATAGCAAACTACCCTATCTACAAAATCCTCTTCTGTGTCAGAGGACATGATGGAACTCCTGAAAGTGACTGTTTTGCTTTCACTGAAAGCCATTACAATGCAGAGCTCTTCAGAATACATGTGTTTCGGTGTGAGATACAAGAAGCTGTAAGTCCTCAAGAGAAACTGTCTGCATATGAAACTTAACCTGTGCCCTCACTAGGTTGAAATGATTGCAGTATTTATTATGGCAACTCATAAGCCAGGTGAAATTCTCTGCTAGTGCTTTAGTGATTCCAGCCTAATGGGCCAAGGGGACCAGTTGGCTAATTTGTGACTAAGTTAGATAGGCATTCTGGTTTCAACAATAACACATTTTCAAACCATTTTTAAAAATCTAAACTTGTTAGAACTGTTTTATTATAATATCTTCCGATCGTTTCTAACACTTTAAGAAATAATTCTTCAGTTAGATTTCTAGTACTTAAAAACATTTCTTATTTTAAAAAATTGTTATTTATTTGTTTTTATTTTATTTTATTTTTTTAGTCAGGATCTCAGTGTGTTGCCCAGACTGAGTGTCATGGCACGATCATGGCTCACCACAGCCTTGACCTCTTGGGCTCAGGTGAACCTCCTGTTTCAGCTTTCTAAGTAGCTGGGACTACAGGTGCATACCAGTGTGCCTGGCTAATTTTTTTATTTTTTTATTTTTTTCAGAGAATGAGGTCTTGCTGTGTTGCCTAGGCTGGTCTTGAACTTCTGGGCTCAGGCAATCCTCTCTCCTTGTCCCCCCAAAGTGCTGGGATTAAAGATATGAGCCACCATGCCTGGCCCATTTATTTATTTATTTATTTTTTATTTTTTATTTTTTTATTTTTTTTGAGTTGGAGTCTTGCTCCGTTGCCCAGGCTGGAGTGCAGTGGCATGCTCACAGCCACTCCAGCATCAACCTGTTGGGCCCTGGCAATCCTTCCGCCTTAGCCTTCCAAGTAGCCAGAACTACAGGCACACGCTACTACGCCCAGCTAATCTTTTATTTATTGTAGAGATGAGGTCTCTCCAAGTTGCCCGGGCTGGTCTCGAACCTGTGGGCTCAGGTAGTCCACTCGCCTCGGCCTCCCAAAGTGCTGGGATTACAGGCTGAGCCACTGAGCCTGGCCCCATTTATTTTTTAAAACCCTTTCTCTGGCCAGTTTTAGTGCTACTTGCTTTATATTCCTAACAAATTAGAAAATTTGCCAAAATGAACAAGTGAGGGAAGGATAATTATTTCCCCCAGCCTTAATAAAAGTATTTTATATTTTATGATAACAGCCTATTTCCTAACATGTTTGGTTGTAGGTAAGCCGGATACTTTATAGTTTTGCCACTGCCTTCCGCCGTTCTGCCAAGCAGACCCCACTTTCAGCCACTGCTACACTCCAGACTCCTGACAGTGACATCTTTACCTTCTCTGTATCTTTAGAAATAAAAGAAGATGATGGTAAAGGTTATTTTAGGTAGGGCATCTTATTTTATTCATTTTCTTTGAGTTTGTATTAATGTGCTGTATTATCTGTGGTTCAGGGGAAACTCTAGATCATATTATAACTTATTCTGTAAAATGATTGCTTTTATAGGGTAGCTTTTTTTTCTTAACATGAGTGATAAAGGAAAAGAAATAAGCAAATGTACTGAGGCAAGGTTTGAAGAATTTTAAAGCAATAAAAAAAATTCTTCATTTGAGGAAAATGTTAACTACCTTTTTTTGATTAAACTCAAAGAGGCTGGCTGGCTACTCATAAGAAATATGACTATGTCTGCTGGATTTGTAGCCATATTTGTTTTGCTGATTTTGCTTACTTCTTTTGGTTGGTTGGTTTACTTTGTTTTAAGAATCTAAAGATCTTAACGCTTTTAAAATCAAGTTTTACCAGTAAAGTTTTCTGCACAAATTGGATGGGGGAGAAATGAGGCCTGTGTCTGAAGTCTAACCTTCTAGGGTTAGAAATAAACTGATTTTGGTTTTTAAGTGAAATGATAATTCTTTGAGTGGAGAATAGAACCCTGGAATAGAAATCAAAACTTAGGTTTAGTTTAATCATTGCTTCTATAAATAGTGTGTCCTTTTCCAAGGCTCTTTACATCTGGCAGTAGTTTTCTTATTTATGAAATGAGGTAACTAGATATTAAAATCCTTTCTAACTTTAAATTTTTATGGTTGCAAGACAACTTGATTTTTATTTCTTTAAAAATATCAAAATATCAAAAACCATGGTTGCTTCTTGGGATTATAAGCAGTAATTGCATATAGAATGCCGTTTCCTTTGTGACTACCTCATAAAATGGGTAAAATTAAATTGTGTAAAAATATGATTTCTAATAGTTTATCTTTAAATTAAAAAGCAAAATGATGAGTTCATTTGTTAGGAAAACTGTTAGCTCTTGGTCTCTTCAGACTTTGGAATTGTCATGCCATCTGGTGGCCAATTTAATGTACAGTACAGTTTCAACTTTGATTTGAGGAGTAAAGAATGAGGCATTTTTCTCTGGGCTTTTACATTAGGTATATTTCTATTCTCAAAGCAATACTATGAAGTAATTCTTTTTTTTTTTTTTTTTTTTTTGAGTTGAAGTCTCACTCTGTCGCCCAGACTGGAGTGCAGTGGCTATTCCCAGCCACCGCAGCCTCGACCTGCTGGGCTCTGGCAATCCTTCTGCCTCAGCCTTCCAAGTAGCTGGAACTATAGGCATGGGCTACCACACCTGACTAACTTTTTTTGATTTATTGTAGAGATGATGTCTCGCCAAGTTGCCCAGGCA